TGCCACACAAACACCAACTTACACTATCTACCAGGACACCACACAAGGTTACTAAAATTAATCCGTGTAATACCGAGACTAAAGTTGAGTGGCCTCAAGCCCTATATTTGCAACTCCATATATATTAATAATTAATTGAATAATTTAACATTATTTATGAATATTTGTGGCCATTTTCATGGTGAGTGGCCCTGTCAATATTGATGTAGTTTATATTTCTCTAAATTCAAGCTACAGTCATAGGCTTCTCACTGAGAAAGGAGCATAGAGGCAGTTGAGGAATTTGCTTGTAGCACCAGGAGTATTGAGGTTGACCTGTGAGCCTTAGGCCGATGCCAATGTGCAACTCATTAAAGCCTGGGCAACAAAAGCTGAGACTTTAAGTTGTCCTAGGTCTCAAAATAAAAAAAACAGTTTTGATTATTCATTCTTGTTATTTAAGATAGGAGACGAGGGCTTCTCTATAGCGTTCGGTTTCACAGGAAAGCTGATTCGACAAACCATCTATGATCAATTGCTAACAAATCTGGCTCTGAACCGGATCAGGCAAGCCAGAGTGCTAAAGGATAGGAGATTTGAGGCTCTACCTATTTATCTCTCTACTCGAACTCTTGGACATATATCCAGAAGAATCTTAAAACTTCTATATAACAACCGGAGTCCTGGACAATTGAGGTAATGTGGCCCGGTTCCACCCAAATAGTGTATCATGGTATTACTCATTTTCACCATTCAATCCAAATGCAATTTCTTCACCTGCTATGTGCCTCACTAACTGGTGTCTATAATTTCAATCAATTCTGCACATTATCCTACCCTATCCGAGATCATGGTTGCTCCACTCACACGTGCCTCACCTATGGTTTAAACTAGTTCCTCCAGTCTTCTCACCTCTAAGCGTGTTGCCACCCACGTCACCTTCAGATCAGCTCTCCCAATTACTCATAGATGAAGTGTTGCCTATCTTGTGTTGGTTTTTCCAATGAACTCTTGAATATGCCTTCCTCCCTACCACATAACGGGACTAGTCTTCAGAATCTCATTTCCAGATTGTTGCAAGAGTATGGTAAATTTCCTTATCCTTTTAATGCTGAGAGTATTACTCTCCCTCTCTATTGTCCCTGGATCTATTGAATATATTGCCCAAGAAATATGTACATTCCATTCATGAAGAAGATTCTAGTTGGAGAGACATCTTGATTACCCACATCTTTGCAATTGTGATTTCTGCAATATAAACACACAATTTGAAGTGTATGGTGTGAATCGCGTTTGATAAAATCGACTCTTCCTTTGGGTATGTAAACCCAGTTTCAGTAGGGAAATTGCTAGAGTCGATAGAATGGTACAAGATGAGAGAACAGTAACATTCTTATAGTGATGCTAAGGAGAAACTTCTCCATACTGTGGTCGCAGAGGGAGAGAATAGGAGGTGCCAGAGCTTGCCGAACTGTCTGCCTCACAAAGTGTTGCAATCCGGTGTGTTCTCGGCCTCCATCCCAGTCTGGCAGTCCCTCAGACCTCGTGGTACTCTCCGTACCTAAAAAATCCTTGCAGTTTTGAGTTTTTTCCTTGCAGTCTTCTAGTTCCTCTCCTCCTCTTTTGGTATGATACCACAGACTATTAGTCGGTGCGACTTGTTGGTTCCCAGGCCTATCCCAAGATTTGACCCGCCATATAGGCATCCTTATCACATAAGCCACCTACAACCTTCAAGACTACCTGGGCTCCTTTCAATCAGACCTCCGAACCCTCGTCATGCGCTTACAATCAATCAGGTATACGATGATCCAACTGAGGGGTGCCTATAATGAGTAACAAAGACATCTTGCAACATGTAGAAATTCTAAGAGTTTGTAGGGCTCTGTGACTGGACCAGAGACAAAGACCAATATACTTTATATGATACTCACACAAACGACGATTTCAATAAATTATCCTGCTTCAAGTGCTATAAAGGTGCAGGTGTCCTATGAGAAGTATAAGACAACATCCTCCTGAACAACTCCGTGAAGCAGGTATGTGATGGTTTGCACAAGTTACAGACGCGAGCAGCCCTAAACCAGGTTGTCTAGGAGAAATCAGACACACCAGCTCTTTAACTGGAATAACAAATTAACAATAACTATAAGTTATAATTTTGAAAATGGAAAAAAATCTCATCAACCAAACTTATTTTATATTCTCTTGTAGTCCCGATACATAGCTATATTTTGGTACAATTGTAATCACCGGCGTTAAGACTATCTTTGCATGGGACTTTTTTCACTTAGTGTATTCTTTTTTTTTTTTTCACACACACACACACACAACACACACACCACACACACCCACTTAGTGTATTCTTATTGGCATTGTCCCATATTTCCAGGCTTTAACACTGGCATTTTCAACTACTGCAAGACATTCCGAGTGTGCTGGGCCATGACTTACTTAGCTTTTCTTCTGTACTTGGGCTTTGGTGTTTTCCATTCTTCACTATTATAAATAACATTGCAGAGCTCTGGGCCTCTGCTGAGTTGCTTCCTTAAAGGTAAATTCCAGGGGGGTGGGAGGGCAGAGACTGTCTCTATAGGGATCCTAGTAGCCACACCATGGGGCTGTGGGGTCTCACAGAACTGGGTGGAATCTGGCTCTATTTCCTATGGGGCTTAGTCATCAATTCACTGTTTTCAATTTTGGATCAACACGTATTATGGATCAGTCTCAAGTCAGCATTAAAAAAAGAAAGGAAAAAAATGGAAAGAGATATATTACCTACAGAATTGTTTGTTAAACATCTCCTTAAATGTATGCATATGTGTATTGGGTTGTGATGAAATGTGTTTTTCGCTCTGGGTGTGGGCTAAACTAGTTGGGAAATACTCTTTCAACCTTTCTGGTCCTTTTCCTCCAATCCTTCACCTTCTTCATCTCCACCGGCCACCAAGGTAGCCCCAAGCACTATTATCTCTTGTCTGGACAACTGCAATAGCCTCCGAACCAGCTTCTTTTCTCACGCTGCCCCATTACAATTCATTCTCATCCAGGAAGAGTGATGTCTTAAAACCTAATTCAGATCGTGTCACTTCCCTGTTTGAATTCTTGCAATGGCCTCCCATTCCCCTACCTACTACTGTTAGGGGGAAGAGTCCAAACTCCTTACCCTGGCCTGCAAGGCCGCCCCACGTCTTCAATCTCCTTCCTCTCACCACCTTGTGCTCACGCATCCCTCGCCCCAGCCAACCCCTCCAGGCAGGGCCTTTGTACTAGCCGTTACCTTTCTGGGGACCTTTCCGTGCCGCTCCCTCTCATCACCTAGGTCTGGGCTCAAAAGCCGCCTGCTCAGAGAGACCCCTCCGGGACTGCCCATCTGCCCTGTGCCCACGCTTTGGCCCATTGCTCCTTTAAAATTTCCCTTCCAGCTCGTACCCTTCTCTGGTACGACGCCGTCCCATTGCTTGTGTCGGGGGCCCCGACAGAGGTGCGAGCCCCAGGAGGGCGGGGAGGGGTCTCGGGACCTGGGGACAGCTGCCTCCCCGCGAATTCTGGGGTCTGCGGGGACCCTCCCCGTTCCTCCCCAATCGCTCAGTCCCGCTCCCAGTCTTGCACTCGCGCCAAGGTCGCCTGCCCGCCTCAGGCCGGCGCCGGTGTTTTCGTTCCGGGTCGGGGGGCGGGGCCTCGGCGGCGGCGCTCTGCTTCCGGGGCGGGGCGGCCGGGGCGGGGCACGCTGTCTCCCGGCCTGTCTGGAGCTTGGGGCTGCAGAAGCGGCTGTGGCGGCGGCACGGCGCGGGCACCGGCCCGGGGAGCTGCACCATGAGCGGTGAGTGGCGGCCCCGCCGCTGTCACCCTCCCCGGCCGCTCCGGCTCCCGCCGCTGCAGCCGCACACTCTGGCCCCTCAGTCCCCGCGCCCCGCTGGCTCGCAGACCCTCGCCCCAGCGCTCCGTTTCCTGACCCCTGGCCGCCAGTGCCCCGGGTCCTGGCCCCTGGTCACCTGCAGTTCTCTGACCCCCCAGGCCGGGCACGCCTAGTCTCCTGCTCCTGTCCGTCAGTTCCAACCGGCTCCCGCACCCTGCCCCCCAGGCCCCCTTGCCCAGACCCCCAGGTTCTGAGACCTTCCCTGCCTCAGTCCCTCCCAGCTCCTAGACCCGCCGAGTGCCAGCTCCACTTCCCGGTCTCCCGCTCTCCAGTCATTCCCCCTACCCAGGCCCCTTGTCTCCAGTCACTCCGGTTTCCCCACTAGCAAAGTGTCTCTGGACTCTTAGTTTGCTGACCTCTGAACCCCCGTGGTCGCAGTAGTTCCCTGTCCCCAGAGAACTCTCAATTCTACAACCCCTTTGTCTTCCCCATCCCTCTTATTCCCCCACCCCTGTCCCCCAGTGCTTTGCTGTTCCAGTCACCAGTTGTTCCCAGTTACCCTCTCAGCTTCCCCCTCCGGTCCTCGGTTTTACATTTCAGTTATTATTTCTCGTACTCCAGCCCCTTGCATTTCTCATCCTAGCTCATCACTTAAGGTCTCTCCCGTCCTGCCCTGCAGCCCTTCCCTTCTTGTCCAATGCCTGGCCCCTCTGGGAACCGTTGCTTTGCCCTTCCCAGTCCAAACTTCTCCCTCCCACCAGCGAGGGGTGGTTTGGAGGGGAGGCTGGAAGTGCAGGGAGGTGGGGCAGCTGGTCCTCGGTGTTTCTGAAGTTTAGTCCTTTGACTCTGACTGGGTGTTCACCCTTCGTTACTCCGAAGAGTCCTATTGGTGTTTTGGTGCTAAGTCATTCCTGGGTGGAGATGGGAGTGACTCAGGGAAGCCTCTCAGCTCACTGTCTTTTTGGCCACTCTGGATCTGGATTTACTTAGGAGAACCCGCCTACCTTCTTACTGCCCGTTTTTCCCTCACTGTGGAATTGCTTCTGAGGAATCCCTGTACCAGCCCGCTTGGCGCTAGCTTTCCACCCAGGCCTTGCGGAAGATCGAGAGGGGGCAAAGGTGGGGATACCCATCTTCAATTTTGCCTGTTAAGTTACCTTTGTGGATTTTTAAAAAATCTGGTTAAGAGATGTTCAAGAGCAAGATTTGTGAAATTGATGGTCCTCATGATGGGGTGGTGAGGGGGGATTTCCTGGGAGGTAGTCCACCGTTTGTTTTTCTGATCCTTGAACGTTGGTGATAGCACAACAAAGATGCCATGAGCTGGCTTCCACCAGGAGGTGTTGTAGCGTGGTTTAAGTGCAGGTTCTGGGGCCAGACTTCCTGTGTTCAAATCCTGGCTCTGCCATATAAAGCTGTGTGATTGAGAGTAAGTCACTTGACCTTTCTATAAGTCCCAGCAAAATAGGGATATGTAATAGTACCTGTCTCCTTGGCTTGTTGTAGTGACTAAATAATACCGCTCAGGTAAAGTGATTGGTGTTGTGCATCTCACATAGTATATTGTCAGGATCTCACAGCTGTTGTTGTTTCCATAAAGACCCATGTGGGGTGGGGGTGGGGTTGTTTCTTGGCTCAGTTCTGGGACAAGGGCTGGGACCAGGGACTCTCTGAAACTTTTTCTTTTAATGTGACCAAGGAATCTCTGCCACAAACTCACAGTTCTGGACTATTCTGTCTTCTGCCTTCATCACAGGAGGAAATGAAATTGCCAAGTCAAGGAAAATTGGTCAATTTATCTTTCAAGGAACAACTTAGTATCAAAACTCAGGAAGTTTTTAAATTTAAGTAAAAAATCATTAGGTCTAAAGCCAAACAAATTATAAAAGGAAACCAACAAATGGCTTTTTAGGAAAAAGCATTAAGGATGAAAGCCTTCCTTTGGAAAGATTGTAATTGAGGCAGAAAAAGTGATCTCTGAGGATGGCAGGGAAAGTCCCAAGGTATATTTAATCATTTTTTGAGAACTCAGTTCAAAATGGCCTTCCTCAATTGTGGTGATAATTGGCATATAATAAAATAATGTGGCATGGAAATAACTTCCTCTCTTCTGTCTCTCTCTCTTTTGTTAAATAGAAAATTTCAAACATCATGAAAGTGGAGAAAATAGTATAATGAACTCCCATGTACCCTAACATGGCTTACACTGTGACCAGCTCATGACCATTTCATCTGTATCCCTACCTACTTCCCACCCCCTCTCCAGGTTATTTTGGAGCCAATCCCAGACACTGTATCATTTCACCTGTAAATATTTTCATATGTATCTCTAAAACACAGGACTCTTTTTTAAAACACATAATTCTGGCTGGCTGTGGTGGCTCATGCCTATAATCCTAGCACTTTGGGAGGCTAAGGTGGGAGCATGACTTGAGAGCAGGAGTCGAGACCAGCCTGAGGAAGAGCAAGATCCTGTGTCTATAAAAAATAGAAAAATTAGCTAGGTATGGTGTTGTGCTTCTTGTAGTCCCAGCTACTTGAGAGATTGAGGCGGGAGGCTCACTTGAGCCCAGGAGTTTGAGGTTGCAGTGAGCTGTGATGACACCTCTGCACTCTAGCCTGGGCGACAGAGCGAGACTCTATCTCAGAAAAAAACAAAACCAAAAAACCCACATAATTCTATTATCATACCTATAAGAAATTAGCAATAATTCCATAATATCATGAGATATTTAATCAGTGTTCAAATTTCCATGGTTGTCTTAGCATTTTATTTTATAATGTATTTTTTAAACGCTTGCCTCCTTTTTTTTAAAGTTTCTTTATTTTTTGATACATTCACGGAGTTGTGCAAACATTACCATAATCAATTTTAGAACATTTTTATTACCTAAGAAAGAAACCTCGTACCCCTATTAGCAGTCGCTCCATGTTCCCTTTTCCCTTAGTCCCTGGCAGCGACTAATCTATTAATACTTTCTGCCTCTGTGGATTTGCCTGTTGTGGAGATTTCATATAAATCAGTGGTCCCAGCCTTTTTGGCACCTAGGGATTGGTTTCATGGAAGATAATTTTTCCACAGACTGGGGGTGGGCAGTGGGGTGTCGTGGGTAGGGGGGAGGGTGGGCTAGGCAGTGGTGCCTAGCCTGTTTCCTCACATGCCACAGATGGTATGGGGCATGGCCCAGGGGTTGGGGACTGCAGATACATAAAGTCATTCAATATGTAACCTTTTGTTATATATATATATATATTATATTATTATATATATATATATATTATTATTTTTTTTTTTTTTTTGAGACAGAGTCTCGCTGTGTTGCCCAGGCTAGAGTGAGTGCCATGGCGTCAGCCTAGCTCACAGCAACCTCAAACTCCTGGGCTCAAGCAATCCTTCTGCCTCAGTCACCTGAGTAGCAGGGACTACAGGCATGCGCCACCATGCCTGGCTAATTTTTTTTTCCTATATATTTATTAGTTGCCAATTAATTTCTTTTCTATTTTAAGTAGAGATGGAGTCTCGCTCTTGTTCAGCCTGGTTTCAAACTCCTGACCTCGAGCAGTCCGCCCACCTTGGCCTCCCAGAGTGCTAGGATTGCAGGAGTGAGCCACTGGGCCCGGCCTCAATATGTAACCTTTTGCATCTAGCCTTTTTCACTAAGTATAAAGTTCTTGAGGTTCAACCATATTGTAGCATGTGTCTATACTTATTCCCTTCTGTGGCCAAGTAGTTAGTAATATTCCGTTATATGGATATTGCACATTTTGTTTATCTGTTCATCAGGTGATAGACATTGAATTGTTTCCACCTTTTGACTATTATGAATAATGCTGCTGTGGATGTTCATGCGCAGGTTTTTGTGTGTGGATGTTTTCATTTCTCTCGGGTGTAAATCTGAATGGAATTGTTGGGTTATAAACCCTATTTAACTATTTGAGGGCCTGTTTTCCAAAGTGGCTGCATCATTTTAACTTCCACCAGCAGTATGTGAGGATTCTAGTTTCTCTACTCCTCACCATCAGTCTTTTTGATAGTAGACATTCTAGTGGGTGTGAAGTGGTATCTGTTTGTGGTTTTGATTTGCATTTCCTTTATGACTAGTGATGTTCAGCATATTCTGGCCAGTTGTATACCTTTTCTGGAGAAATGCCTATTCAGATCCTTTGCTTACATTTTATTTTTATTTATTTAGTTTTAAATTTCAAAATATTAAGGGGGTATAAATGTTTTAAGTTACATGGATCATTTTTTTTTGAGACAGAGTCTCACTCTGTTGGCTCGGGCTAGAGTGCTGTGGCATCAGCCTAGCTCACAGCAACTCAAATTCCTGGCCTCAAGCTATCCTTGTGCCTCAATCTTTGGAGTAGATGGGACTACAGGCATGCGCCACTATACCCAGGTACTATATATATATATATTATTTTTTTTTAACATTTTCTTATTTTTTTCATTATTTTCTTATTTTTTTATTTTATTTTTAAATTTTTCTGGGTATGTTTCTCACTGTAGAAGATGGAATTATATATATATATATTTTTTTAGTTGTTCAGCTAATTGCTTTCTATTTTTTTTAGTAGAGACGAGTCTCACTCTTGCTCAGGCTGGTCTCAAACTCCTGAGTTCAAAAGGTCTGCCTGCCTCGGCCTCCCAGAATGCTAGGATTACAGGCATGAGCCACCATGCCTGGCCTACACGGATCATTTTTATAATGCTGGAGTCCTGGCTATAGGTGTGCCCGTCACCCAAATAGTGTTCATGGTACCCATTAAGTTCGTTTATTCTCCTCTCCTGTGCCTCGCTTCCTCTGGTTGCTCTCCACTGAGTTTTACTTCCCTCTGTGAACTTGTGTGTTCATCCTCCGTTAGTTCCAATTTCATAGTGAGTGCATGTGGTATTTGTTTTTCCATTCTTGAGATACTTCACTTAGGGGAATGGTCTCTAGTTCCATCCAGATTGTTGCAAA